AAAAGTCACGTTTTGTCTTCATCTTTGGGTTTTCATCTATATATCTTTTAATTTTTCGTGTAACTTTCTCTCTAAGTCCGGTTCTTATTATCTGGAACCAGGTAGTTCATTTCAAGGGATCAAGAAAGCGACTTATGCTCGAGTCTTGGAATTTCTATTCATCGTCCTCTAACCTCTCTGATATGCTATGCCTCGTTTTAAAGAGTGGAAGAACAAAATACGATTTTTAAATCTCTATATAGGTGGGTTTTTGTTTTTGCCACTCGGAAAGTACAGTTCATTTGTAAAGCTTCGAATCTGTAACCCGTACATTTGGAGAGGTGATGGACATATTGTGCGTTCGTATGCTGGCTAAATCTCAGTATCCTCAAATGATAACAACTTGTCTGTTTAGTGTTTACGAACAGATAGTATTTCGTTATTTCTTTTTCTGATAGGTGTTTTGTTTACGAACAGATAGTATTTCATTATTTCTTTTTCTGATAGGTGTATGAGGCGATTGTGTTCTTGACATTCATTGGAACAAATTTTCCTTTAAGATGAAAAGAAAAGAGCTATTTTGTGTAAAAAATTCTTGTGAGGTTGCTAACGATCAGAGTATTGTTTTTACAGTAGTTCTTTTGTTTGGTTTGCATAACTATTAGGTCGGTAATATATTTTTTTCTTCAATAATATTGCATACATTCGGTTGAAAATGTCATACTTTTAAGTTTTAACAAACATAAAAATTGTGAAATTTGATAGCATAAATTTGTATCTTTGTACAAGGTATGACGAGACGAACTACTGATTCACACTAAAATGCGTTGTTTTTATTGTTTTTTCAAGGATAAAAATAATAAAACAATTAAGCAATTGAGTCTTGATCACAACTTTCGGCATATCCAGACCAAAAAAAGAAAAAGAAAAAGAGAAAACAATCAAGTAAACCTGTACTTGTGTTAGTGTGGTACATTTGCTGCAAAAACAGTATTCACAAAATAGCCTTTTGCTGATGAAAGTCTAAGCAGCATTACTACAGTTAAGAAAATTAGACAAACATGATAAACTATAATGTGGAAATCAATCTCTTTGATATAAAAGCCATCAATGTTAAACTGACCTCATTAAAGACAATCACCAGCTAAACTACACATACATTCATAGCCAACTATGCTGCAAATCTAGATTCTAGCCAGAAGAAAAACTATATACAGGTGATAAAGATCACAAAAACCAATTTAGTCACAAGAAATATCTTAAGAAAACCACGACCAAGACATCAGATAGTTTTTGCAAAGCCTCTAATCTCCTTTTGTTGCCTCTTGACAAGTTTCAAGATTTGAAAAAACAGTTAAAATTTAACAACCTAACTGTAATATGACATTAATGCTTCACTAATCTGCCCAAAACCAACTGTATATGAAAGTCCACATGGAAGAAGTATAGATCAGGTGAGAAAAAACCTACGAATTCTTTAAGGACTTTGTCAATAACTTTCTCTTCACAAATCGGCCATTCTTAAATTGTGTTAATACCTGCTATTACCACATGCATGTGATAGTGATCTCAAGGTATAATAAGCTAACCTAGATCAAATCAGGATTGTTTTGTCTCATTAGATCAAATCTTTAATTCCTAAATAAACGTCAAACATCACGTAACAATGAAACACTCGCATGAACAAAGTTTTACGAAGATCAAACAAAAGATTCATTCATTATGAAAAAGCATCAGTTCACATCAAGATAAATTCAATGCCCTGGAATTCAATTATCGAACAAACATGTGGCTCCTCATAACTCATAACAAAGAAAATTGTTACTCAGCCGGAGTGCGTGACAATTAACGAGATCAAGAATAGTTCACTAGATATATATATATATATATATATATATATATATGGCAATAAATGTCGCTAATTATGCAACTATTTTAAGCGAAAAGCTTCATTCAATGAAAATCTACATAAAAACTTCCCAATAAACCAAACTATATAATGCTATCTTTATTCAAACTCTGTTCAGACGACACACGTCCATCCATCCTGAAAGCTCTTCTATCAGTCATTAACTCTACAAACACAAAAACTACAGCAAAGTACAACATCCCATGAAAATGAAAAAGGCTCGTTTGTCGTTTGATCGCGAATCTCATTCATACACGCACAAAGACAATATAATGGGGGCAAACTAAAGACATAATAGGATCATAAAAGGAAACAATTATACGAATCAAATATGGAAAAAGGGGAAAAAAGAATAGAATTCATCCTAACCGGACATTTTTCTTTTTTTTTTTTTAATCGAAAAAAACTCCAAATGTTCACTGCGCGCTCTTTTGCCCTTTATAGTAAGAAAGGTACCACCGGACGAATTTCTTTAGCCCCGTCTGCAAATCAGTCGTCGGCTTATAACCGAGCTCCCTCTGAGCCAAGCTAATATTAGCGTGCGTAAACTGAACATCACCATTCCTAGGCAGCTTCATAACCATCCTTTTCGCCTTCACTTTAAGCAAACGCTCTAAAATGCTCACAAGATCCGAGACTGGCACAGGAGAAGTATTCCCCAAATTATACACTCTCAGTTGAGCAGAGCCTTTCTTCTTCCCCCCACTGCCTGTACTCTTTTCCGATGTATCCAAAGCGCTCAAACAGCCCTTTACAATATCGTCAATGTACGTAAAATCCCTAGCCACAGTAGCATGATTAGCAGCCTCAAAGATTGGTATAGACTTCCCTTTCAAGATATCTTTGGTGAAGAAGAAATATGCCATATCGGGCCTTCCCCAAGGCCCGTATACAGTGAAGAACCTCAGCCCGGTTAAGGAAAGGCCATATATGTGGTTATAAGTGTGAGCAATCTCCTCACCGGCTTTTTTAGTCGCGGCGTACAAGCTCGCCGGCTGATCAGTTCTGTCCCTCTCGGAAAAAGGTACCTTTGTGTTCAGACCGTAAACCGAGCTGCTCGAAGCCCAAACAATGGCGGGCTGAGGGTTAACGCCCTTGCAAACCTCGAGCAGGTTAACAAAGCCCGCTATATTGCTGTGCACGTACGAGCCCGGGTTTTCCATGGCGTACCTAACGCCGGCCTGCGCTGCTAAATGCATGACGTGAGTGAAGGGGACGATATCGAAGAGCTTTTTCAGCAATTTTGCATCATTTATGTCGCCCTCTACGATGTAAACCCCTGTGCGTTCGAGGAGGGCTTGCCTGGCCCGCTTGAGAGACGGATCGTAATAGTGGTTGAAACAGTCGAGGCCCAGAACGCCGTCGCCCCGCCGCTTGAGGGCGGCGGAGACGTGGGTGCCGACGAAACCGGCGGCGCCGGTCACCAGGACGGAAATCCCATTGCTTGAACGGATTTTGGCGGAGGCCCGAACCTTCTTCTCGAATTCTGGACCGCCGTAGAAGCTGGTCCGGAGGGATCTTCTGGAGAGATCCGACGGCCCGGAGGAGGAGGAGGAGGCGGAGGACGGCGGGGATCTGTAGAAGAAGACGAAGATCAAGCCCAGGAAGACGAGGGACCAGAAAGTGAGCTTGGCCAGCGAGGAATGCAGCCGGAGGCGGTGGTACGAGGATTTCTCGATCTTGAACTTCCCTGGGGTTGATGGGGTGCTGTCAATGTGCTTCATCTGTGATGGAAATCCAGCAACGACAGTTGGGGATTTTGGAAAGTTCTAAGTTTGATTTGAAAATCCCTTGTTTGATGCCAAAATGCGATGCTTTTCTTGAAAAAAAAAAAAAACCACAAAAAAAGGGGGAAAATGTTAGGGCTCGAGAATTTTTTGATGAATGTTGAGCTCAAGAACGAAGATGGATAATAAAACAGGGAGGATAGGAGATGGTGGTGCTTTTGTGCCTTTGAGAGAGTTTCTTATTTTTATTTTGATTTTTATATTTTATTTAAGCTTTTTATTTATGGAGAAAATGAGAATCTTTCTGGTTTTCTTGGAGCAAATTGGTGCCTTGGTGGATGGTAGTTGGTGACTTGGTGCCTTGTGGTGGTAGTGATGAAGGTGTAATTTTTTTTTTTCTTTTTATTTTCTAAATTTTCTTTGCTTTTAGAGAGGGAAATTAATTTCGGGGTTATATTATAATAATGATTGGATTATATTAAAAGTATGTGATTAGTGAGAGAATATAGCGGAATTTTTTGGTCTTGTGGGCTTGTGAAATGTGAGGGAGATGAATGAGGTTTGAAGAAAATTCAAAGAAGGATTGTTTGAATAGTAAGAGAGTCCAATTAATAAAAGGGAAAAATAAAAGGAAAAAAATAAAAGAGTCAAACAAGACTAGAAGATTGTCAAATTAATTTAATATATTATTAATGTTGATGCACATGATTTGTGTAATTTAATGCATTAAAATTAAAATTATCATTTTATTTTAGCTTTTGTCCTTTTTATTCTTCTGTTAGTTATTTGTGATTCATTTATGGTATGAGTAATACAACTATTCATTTTTAGTTAAAAAATAATAGAGTTTTGTCCAATTCATTTGAACTTAAAATAATATTCATTTTATATCAAAAATATACTTGTCCAGCTAATTTTAACTCATCAAATCCAGTCGCGTTTGGTGAAAACACAGGCACAGCTATGCTCATGCTTTTCCTTTTCAAAAGATGGTGCTAGAAAAATTATCTTTGACCGTTTGACTTTATTCGAACCGAACCGAACTGAACCGAACAAATAGTTCGTACGGTTATGGAAATTTCACCGTACCAAAAACCGAACCGAACCGTTTTATACCGTACCGAACTGAAGAACCGAATTATAACAATAGATGTGTGTTATTAATATATTTTACGCCAACTTTGATCCTATATAATTTGAGAATTTTAAAATGCAAATAAAATACAATTCTAATAATTAAGCTTCAGTTAAATTTCATTCTTAGTGATACTTAATTTACAATTGAATTTTTATGGTTATAAAAAAATTATTTAAATATGGTATGAAATGTTACAGCCTATTTTCTTTAATAAAAATAAATTATATTATATATTGTTTGAATTTTAAATTTTCAATATTAGTTGCACAAATTTAGTCTTAACTAAAATTTAGAGTTACTCTTAAAGTTGATTTCAAAATAAACCTTTAATATGAGGAAGTATTGATGAATGTTGATTTTTTTAAAGCATATAAAAATTAAATAACTAAAATTTAGAGTTACTTCTAAAGTTGATTTCAAAATAAAATATTCGATATGATGAAGTATTGATGAATTTTTGTTTTTTTTAAAGCATATAAAAATTAAAATATAACTAGGTAGTCATTCAAAAAAAAAATTATAAAAATAAGAAATCTCCGAAGATCCGAACCTAACTATATCGAACCGTTTCGATAGTCCTGAATACCGAACCGAACTGAACCGTCCCAATTTTTTGGTACAGTTCCGAAAATTGAATTTAGTGATCTCCGAATTTTGGACCGTACCAACTCATGCTCGCCCTTAGAGCATCCACAATGCTTTGAGTCTCTTGATAAAAAATTACATGTCATTTAAGAAATAGACCTAGTCTATAAAAAAATGCTTCCCAATGCAATTAAAAGTGGACATGGTCTAGCTTATGTGGCAATAAAAAAAGAGACTAATTCCACACTTGGGTCTATTTTGGACCCAAGTACAAACCCAAAACACTAATCATTTATTCCTACTTTAATTTTTCTTTTAATAAAAAAAACATATTAGATCATTTTTATTGGTTGACATATATGCTAGATCTAGTATTTTTATTTTTGCATTGCAAAGTTATTGAAGTTTTTTACTTGGGTTTGTCCACATCATTTAAGACTCAAGTCCAATTATATGCTACGTATACAAAAAGAGACCCAAAGCATTGTGGGTGCTCTTATATGGTGCAATTAAAACTCTTACAAATTGCCACACTTACTTTTGCAAAACAAACTTTATTTAATAAAGAAAACTAAAAAGATATATAGCCAACTAGACCACCTTTGTTCTGCTGTGAATTTAAGGAATAGATAGGGATTAATAATTGAAAAGGGGGATTGCTATTATGTGGGCTGAAAGATAAATGCTCTCATTGGTTGTAGACTGCAATTTGAAATTTAAGGCATTGTTTTTCACTCTATGGGCAATTGAATAATCCCATACCAATAAATGCAGTCTGTAGATATAAATTATGAGATTTTTTTTCTAATTTTCATTGGATGGTGTGAGAGACTTGTAGGGATATGAGCTTCTAAATTCAAGTACTTTTGAACTGATCTCAAGCTAGCCAAATTCTTTGGCGAGTTGAGTTCGAGCTATGTAAATTTTGGCTCGTCGAGCCTGAACTCAAGTAGGTAAAAGAAAAAAATGCACCTACTTGATAAGGTTATTATTCGACTCAGCTCGTTTGCAATCTTTATCAAGTTTCTTGAGAATCTCACAATGAATTTATTTCAATATTATTGCATGATAATGTATAATGGGTATATAATATGGTCATCAGCAGTCCCTCATTTTTGTCAGTGAATTCAGGTTGTTATGCCAAAAAAATGAAATATAAAAACAGCCTTACATAGCACTTCCAAATAATAAACATAAATAATTTTAAAGAGAATAATTAATCACAAATTTAAATCTAATTTCACATTTGAAGAATATATTTCCAGGCTTTTTTGCGGACTGCAGGAATTTTTTATTCACTATATAATTGGAAATGTCAAAATATTCATTGAATTTCCAACAATATTCTATGTGTTTTGTTTGAAGTACAGATTATTCTGTGATTAGCTCGACAAACTTAGCATTTTCTTTTTTATTTTTATTAATACTTGCACTATATTAATATTGTTTTATCTTATTATTCCAAGACGGTGGCTTTAATTAAGATTCTCATTTCTAAATAAGTTGACTTATGTATTAATTCCATCAGGCAGATTTGTCCTCTTAGTTAATTTATTTTATTTGTATAGATTCCTGTAAACTGAGNAAGCAGATCACTATAGTTGCATCAGAACTATAGATACAGTAATATGTTTACATATTGAATAAGTTCAATTTCTGGCTGTAAATGCAAATGGCAAATTTTAAATCTATATACTATAGTACACCAGTATGAACATATTATAGATTTAATTTATTTAATTAATTATTTAATACAAAGCCAGGCAAAAATGGAGAAAAACATAATTTCATTTTCGTCGCCTGAGCCATGTGATGAGTTCTACGTGAAAGGTGACACAGTTGTGTTATAGTCAGGTCCTTTTTCAATTACTTTATTTTGTATAATAAATTATGTCATGTTATATTGACTTTATTGCACCTGTAATGTCGGTGATATTTATGAATGTGTTATGTAAATAAATCTTTTAATTTGTGTTCTCACTATATTATTAATATGATCATTAGTACTATTTGTATAGTAAAACATGGCAATATATTTATGTTTGTTGTGTTGATTGTTGACGTAGATTGGATAAACAATTGCTGGAACATAGAATTCGATAGATATACAAAAGGTGTATGATGTTACAACTTGGTAAATACATTTGAATTTAGAAGGTCATTTTCATATTTAAATGTCATACATTAATAAACAAATTAAACAAAAGTATAATATTCTACAATTTAATTACACAATATTGCTTTCATATCCAGATGGGTACGAATTATTATGTCGACTAGCTCATATAGCATAAGATTATACTGTGGATATGTAATTGAAAGATCATAAAATCTGCAAATATTAATTATCAGTGGCGCGTGAGTACATTAAATATATGTTTTGATCAAAAGGTAGGATGAATCGACTTATCTAACCATTAAACTGACTCAAATTTGTTTATAGTTATATGCAATCATAACCAATATTNAAGTTTCTTTACATTCACAAGATGCAATTGGAAAATTAGGTCTTCTTCCTCAGCCAAACAGGGAAACAACATTTATTCAAGAAAATAGTCACACAAATACATTCAAAATCTACCAACATCTACAAACAAAAACAACTCCTCACAGCCAAAATACAGATTTTTCAAAGTCACATAAACAATCTCAACATCTCAGATCCATATTTTCTGATCATTACACAAAGGCGAAAAATTTTACTTGGCGAAAAGCCCGTTTTCTGATTTATACAAAGAACTTTCCTTTTTCAGCGTGTCGAAAATGTTGAAAGGACTTCGAAATAATTAGGGAAAGTTTTACGGGTGCAAGCGGGATCTCTAATGGTAACAGGCACATCGGCACAGGCTGCAAGTGAAAAAGCCATGGCCATACGGTGATCATCGTACGTGTCTATAGCTGTCACGTTTAGTTTCTCGGGCGGAGTTATTATACAGTAATCGGGCCCTTCCTCAACTGTTGCCCCTAACTGGAAATTTCAAAGTTGAAACACAGATAAAAAAGTATAAAATTGTTTGGCTGAATTGCATTTTTAGTCATGCTGGTTTAACACCATAACATTTTTAGTTCCAAGATTGTAACATTTTGCCTTTTGAGTCCTATGATTTAATATTTTGCTGCAATTTCAGTCATTGGAGGACTGATATTGCAACAAGTTTCCAAATTTTTCCTACTAGTTTAGGAGTTAGACAATAGCTGGTACATGTGATTTAGTCACTCTCTTTGGGTCAGTAAAGGTATTTTTTGTCAGCAATATAGGTCCTATAAATTAAGATTTTGTTGCAATTTTAGTATTGTTGTTTAGATTTTGTTGCAGTTTCAAAGGACTGAAATTGCAGTAAAATATTAATGGCAAAAAATTGTAACCTTGGGACTAAAATATTGCTATGGTGTTAAATCAACAGGACTGAAAATGCATTTTTTCCAAATTGTTATCAATACTATCTTGCAGACATTTGAACTAAAAAATAAAAATAAAGCTTTCAAAATAGAAAATAACAAAGAAGAGACTATCAAAGAGGTTTTTGTTTATTCTTAAATCTAAAGGAGGTTTTTGAAAATTTTTCTAAACCCAAAAGGGGTTGTTTTCGAAAGGTCTTTTTTTATTTTCAATTTTTGTAATTTCCCCAAACTTGAAGAGTATTTTTCCAACTTTAATGAATCATAATCGAAATGTATAGTTCTTTACTGGATGAAAGAAAGTAGAGAAGTAGATAAAGAGGTTTGACGAACACACCTTCCTAAGTTCTGTGCAAATGGCAATCATCCTTTCAGTTTCCTTAACCCTCCAGCTGGCCACTGCACGCAGAATGAAAAAGGAAAGGTTCGTTTTACTTCAACAAGTGGAAAAAAACCGAAACAATGGGAACTATGGGAAGTGTCAGCCTAATCACGAAAAAATCATTTGAAACTGTCACATTTGTTTCTGTATACAGAAGTGCATCCTGAGGAGCCAAGGTCTTAAGAACCAACAGAGACAAATTTGTAATTTTTTAAAATATAAACACGTTTTCCCCTAATTTAACTCAAGGGTCGTTTTGCAATTTTGCCCCAAATGCCGAAATACTTGTACATGATACGGTCAATCAAATTAAACCCCATAATAACTGGTCACAGTTAAAATGCGAGCAATTTGTAGTGTACTCTTTAAGGAGTATTTTAGTATCAACTGTAACTAATATTTTTGTTATGCTTATCATGATCATGGTCATAAAGAAGTTAGCGAAACTCATTTCTAACCCTTGGTGAAAAAAAGGCAGAAATATTTACCATCTCTAATAGCGGTAGGTCCATCGGCAAATAGAGCCACAACAGCAAGAGTCATTGCAACATCAGGCATTTTGTTCATGTTTATATCAATTGCTTTCAAATGCTTCCTACCAAATGCATCACGCGGAGGTCCTTTTACGGTGACACTATTCTCAGTCCACGTAACTTCAGCTCCCATTTTCTCAAGAACCTCAGCAAATTTAACATCACCCTAGAAAAAAAGAAAGAAAAAGAAAAACTGAAAAATTAAAACATTCACATTATCAGATAATAAGGGCATGTATCAAGTGTTTGAGGAAGTGTATGCAGTCACCAAAAAACAAAAATGAAAAAAAAAAATGTTAACTTCAGTCTGAGCACACAAAAAAAACACACACACACACACACAAAGTGTTTAGTGGTTCAAAATACCAACTTTTAATTCTAGTTGTGAAAAATTTTAATCGGGATTTAAAAATTACGGAGATGGGTGCTTTAAATTTGTGACTTGGATTTTTACTTCTGGTTTGAATGATTAGATACAACTATATTACAAGCAACCCCTCAAACAACTAATGCACAAAAAACTCATGTAACTAAAATAACTATTCACTCTATATGCAAATATGACAATTTTCTTAAATCTTAACCAGTTTTTAAGCAAATAAAGTACCTGCAAACTGCTTGTTCCACAGCCTTCAACAGTAATGGTTCCACCAGTAACAGCTGCACCAGCTAAAAAGTAACTGGCGCTCGATGCATCACCTTCAACAAAAGCCTTTCCAGGCGATCTGATTAAAAAAAAAAATAAATAAATAAATAATACATTTTTTCCATTTAATACTTACAGTGAAAAGAAATTTCTCGAATAAAAAAAAATAAAATAAAAATTACTTACTAAATACTAACAATAATAATACACAACTTACTTGTACTTTTGACCTCCTCGGACGAAGAACCTGTCCCAGCTGTCACTGTGCTCTACATAGACACCGAAACGTTCCATCAACTTAAGAGTCATCTCAACATAAGGTACTGAAATTAGTTTGTCGATTATTTCAATCTCAACGTTTCCTAAAGCTAATGGAGCAGCCATGAGAAGAGCTGTCAGGTATTGGCTGCTAATCGAGCCCGAGAGTTTCACCTGCCAAAGTAAGGCCGAAAAAATAAAAATAAAAAATAAAAAATGGAGAACACAATCTCACTATAAATTACAAACACTAATCATTTCCCTATCCACACAAGGGAGAAAACAGAAGACCTCTCATTTACGTTTTCACAAGTAATAACCTTTAGTCTTTTGCCATATTTCCTTTTCTCCTTAAAATTCATCTACTTAGTTCATCATCTAGCTACTAGATATCTTTTATTTCTAA